CTTTCTTCTACAGAACCCACCCAGACCCCAGGCGGTGCCCGGGGTCTGGGCTACACTCTCCGCATGGGCCTCCACCCCGCAGCGAATTGCCCAGAATGCACCGGGGCAGGGGGTCATTCAGGGCCTCCCTGACCTTGGCCCCGCCCTGGGCCCAGTCTGGGAGCTGCGGGTGGGGAGTTGCTAATGGGGTGGGGGGTGATCGAGAGAGTGTAGAAATGGGTGGCAGAGTGGTGAGAGAGTCGAGGTTGGCTAAGGGGGGGGGCCTGAGTTTTGGAGGGATCGGAGGGTAAGGTGTGGTGTCCAGTGTGTGCTAGTGGAGGGTGCGGGGGTGCAGGAGGGTGGAGGGACCCAAACGCGTATAATAGGCGGGTGGAAGTCAGAGAAGTGCTGACATATGCAAATTGGGTCCTCTGTGTTAACGGGGGATAAGGGGTAGAGGTACCAGGTGTGCTAATAGGATCAGGGTTTGAGGCCCTGTGTGGTGAGGGTAAGGACGGTGTTAATACGGTGTATTTGTCCATGAGGACTGCAGCGTGTGAGGTGCCAAAATGTGCTCATGGAGGGCAGCGTAGTGGAAGAACTAGAGTGTTGAGCCTTGCTAATGGGGGTGCTATCTGCAGAGGGCATGTGCATGTGGTAATAAAAGTCTGGGGAGCATGAGGCCCAGTCTGTGCTTATGGGGGCAGAGGGGTGGAAGACCTGAGCCTGTGCCAATAATGGCTGTCAGTTATGGATGAGGGAAGTGTGTTAGCACTGCGAGAGGTTCAGTGTATTCAGGATCAAGATGGTGTGAGATCAGTGTGTGCCCATGAGGGCCGGGGATGCAAGACTAGGGTGCGCTAAGAAGAGGTAGGGTGATAGATGAAGTTAGAGGCACTGCTAATGTGGCTTTAGAGCCGTGGAGGCCCTTAAATGTGTGCCAGTCGGGGGAGAGTCAGAGCTGTATGAGATCTGGAATATGCTAATGAGAGTCAGAACATTGTGAAGACAGTATGCTCTTGTGTCCATGGAAGACTGGGATGTGTTGAGGTTTCAGGGAGTGCTAATGAGGGGTAGAGCTGTTGAGGGTTTCTAGTGTGCAAGGAGGATAATCAGGGCTGTGAAGGGATCCCAGTGTGAATCAGCCAGGCTTCTAGCTGTGGAGGACTTGAAGCAAACAGAAATAAGGAACAGGAATATGTGAAGGTCTAGGTGTGCTAAAGTGGATAGAGCCATGGCTGGCTGAAACGTGGGGGAGGGGGGTCGGGCTGAATGAAGACTTGTGCGCATTAATGAGGGTCAGGCCATTATGTAACTGTGTTTGCCCCTGGAGATAGGGCTGGGGAAGGGTTCAGGGATATAACAGTGTGCTTGCCCCTGGAGATAGGGCTGGGGAACAGTCCAGGGTCATAACACTGTGCTTGTCCCTGAAGATAGGGCTGAGGAAGAGTTCATGGTATGCTACTGGGAGGCACTGTGTGAGGCCCAATATGTCCTAATAGAGGTCAGGGTGAATTGAAGGTCTAGCTTGTTGCCGATGGGAGGTGGCAGAGACAGGATAGCGGGAGGACCGGAATATGTGGTAATGATAGTCATACCTGGGGAGGGGTCTGAGCTTGGACGAAAACAGATCAGGGATCTGCAAGGTTCACTTTGTGTTCATGGGATTTAGGGCAGTATGAAAATCCAGTGAATGCTAATGTGGGTCAGCTGTAGAGGGTCCCAAGTGCATGTTAGTTAATAGGGGTCAGAATCATGTAGGGGGAACAGTGTGTTAACGGGGCGAGTGCTGTGGAGAAGCTAACAGGCAGCTGGGCCTGGGAGGGACCCAAGAATGTGGTAGGCGTTAACTTTGAAGGTCCTGTGCTCTGTTGGGGCTTTGTGAGCTGGCGGCAGTTAGAGATAAAGGGAAATTGCAGGTGCTGATAGCAGTTAAAATGCAGAGGGACCTTCTAGAAGGTTCAGTATATACTGAGAAAAGGAGGACATTGAGGGCCCAGTGTGTGCTTATGGGAGTCCGGACAGGATGAGGATGGTATGATCCTATGGGACTTACTAGAGTGTGACGACTGTGTCCTTAGTGGCTCGGTGTAGTGTGAGGAGGTAAGTGTCCTCGAGTATTATGAGAGCATTCAAGTTAATATCTTCAAGTGTCTCTGCTTACAGGGGCCCACCAGGGTCCCCCCTACTGGGGGTGTTGCATGATACAAAGATTTTGTACCCCTTTTTCCTAAACTCCCCACAAAACTGAACTCTGGAACCTGTTCAGCCCTTGGAGTTTCCAGTTAGAGGTCATGCACCCATACCTCCTCTAGCTCCCTCCTCATTGTCCATCCAGCCCTACTTATAATCCCCCACCCCTACCCCACCCAGCTCCTCTATTCCCTGTGACAACAGACAAACGGACTGCAGATCTGTGCCATGCAGACACAAGACCGTCTTTGGAGCTGGCCATACTTCACCTGCCTCAGTCTCAGGTCCAGTGTTGAGCCTCCTGGGCCAGGATTTTGTTGGTATCCTGGGTTCTCTGGATGGAACTCATCCTCTTCACTGCGGTCTTTCTACTAGGCTGGCCCCTCTACCCCTCCTGAGGGTAGTGAGGTCAGGCAGGCAGAGACAGGGTGTGGGGACCGCTGGAGTAACACCTGATTTCAAGGTAACAGATGACCCACTTCTCTCCTCGCATCCAGGCCCAGCCTCATCTTCGACCTCCTATCTAGCTTCACTTCCCTTGGGCCCAGGGCCATCGTAGGCCCTGCTGTGAGTCCATATGGTTCCTGGGCCAGGTCTTTCCCCCTCCTTGCTGGCCCAGAGCCCAGGTGGAAGCAGAAGAAGGCCAGCCTAAGCCTTTTGGTGGCCCTGTTCCCTCCAGCAGCACATGAGCCCCAGGGACACTCTGGTAGAGATTGGTCCTAGGTCCTCAGCCCCCTGACTTCATTAATTTCTGCCATAAGCACTTTTTGAGCATCTACTCTGTGTCAGTGACTGTTCCAGGTCCTCAGGATATAGCTGTGACCTAAACAGACAGAAATGACTCTGACGGAGCTGATCCTCTAGTTATGGCTGTGAGGAGACAGTAAACTAATAAGTAGATGGTCTCATTTCTGAGGAGGTGATGAATCCTGGGGGATAATTGACAAGGTGAAGGGAGCTCAGAATGGTTGAGATTTTAAATAGGCTCAGAGGTCAGGGTTCCACCCCCAGTTAGGGGGTACGCAGGAGGCAGCCAGTCAGTGATTCTCATTGATGTTTCTCTCCCTCTCCCTTCCTCTGAAATAAAAAAAAAAATTATTTTAATAAATAGGATTATTTGTTGAGGATTATCCATGAAAAACGTAATATTTGAGCAATGGCCTGAAGGGGGTGAGGGAGTGAACTGTTTTAGAAATCTGGGGGAAGGGTATTTCAGGTACCGGGAACAGCCAGGGCAAAGGCTCTGAGGTGAGACTGCTGGGTGTGGTTGCAGAACAGCAGCTAGCAGTGATTGAGGGGCAGGTGAGCCAGAGAGATAATAGGGGTGAATGGGGTCAGACCATATGAGCCACATTGAGGACTGGAGCATTTATTGGGTGTGATAAGGGAGATGTGGTGCATTCTCAAGTACAGGAGAAATGTGACCTGGCTTGTAAAAGTCTGGGTGAGACCCTATGAATCCCAACCTGATTGAACCTTTCTGGCAGCCGTCAGGTTAGCTTGTACTCATTGAGATCCCCCCGCCCCAACTCCAATTAGTGGTTGTGTCTGGGCCAGACCCTCCTCCCCCTACACCCCTCACTTGGGTAGATCAGTGGCGTAGTCCACTAGTCACCATGACGATGGTTGCTAAGGGAGGTTAGAGGTCTTTGTAGCCATATAGAGCAGGCTGCCTTGGCAGTTGGGGCTGATGTTGGGTTGGTGCCAGCAGAAAATGCCGTTCTACGGGCGTGTCCAGGGTTATGTCAGTTGTTCTGAGGTCCTGGGCAATTCCCCTTCTCCACCCATGGCTAGGTTCATCACTGCTGCTGCACCCAAGAATACCTGCTGCTCCCACAGGGGGGCTGCCTCCCTAGAAACCTGCATTCCATCGATTGGACCCTTGCCCTCAGCCATCCACCCAAGACTCGGTACTCAGGTGGGCTACTTAGGAGCAGGGTCCCCAGGGGCTGGCTGTAGGTAGACAGGCACTGACAAAGGTCCCTGTTCATGCTAGGTTTTCAGAAGTCCTAAGTGGTTCCAGGACCCCTCAGTGGTTGGGTGGGCACTGACAAAAGCTCATGTCAGTGTGCCTCAGTAGGTTGTCATGGGCTTTAGGGGGCCCATGGTCAGGCAGATGCTAACATGGATCCCATTCCCATCTATGCCCCGCTCCCCCCATCTTCTCAGGTCGCCATGGATCGGATGAAGAAGATCAAACGGCAGCTGTCAATGACACTCCGAGGGGGCCGAAGTGTAGACAAGACCAACAGTGCCCCTGAACAGATAGGCCTGGATGAGAGTGGCGGTGGTGGTGGCAGTGACCTTGGAGAGGCCCCCACCCGCGCTGCCCCAGGGGAACCCTGCTCTGGGCGGGGACTACTCAGCTCTGCACCAGGTGGGTCTACTGACCATTTCCTCCCCTAGACTGGTTCCCAGGTGCTGCTTTCCAGCCAAACTCCTCTTAGACTTGCGTCTTTTCATTTCCATTTCTCCATTTTTTTCCCTTCCCTGCCATCCTCTCTATCTGTGCCCCTTTTGTTGGCTTTCTGCCCAGGCCTTGCCCCAGCTCCCCTAATCCTCCTTTTACGCTTCTCCTACACTCTGCCAGTACCCTCAGGCCCCCTGGCGCCTGCCTGCCCTGGGTCTTTGGCTGCCTCTGCCTGCCCCTAGCCCCAGGCTAGCCACAGTCTCAGCTCACCCCTGGAGCCTGGTCTTCCACTAAGTAACTATTCCCCCTGCCCCATTCAACCGTCCTGTCCTGTCTGAACCTCCGTAGGCCTTGCCACCCTCTCCCTAAGGGACCCCAGGCTGCTCTGGGGGCCATATGCACACCTGTATGATGAGCGAATGTATTCGTTGGGAAGAGGGTGTCCTGGGGCTCCTGACTCCACCCAGCCTGCCCTCCCCCTGTTTCCACCACCAGAGATTGTACACGAGGACTTGAAGATGGGGTCTGACTTGAAGATGGGATCTGATGGGGAAAGTGACCAGGCTTCAGCCACGTCGTCAGACGAGGTGCAGTCACCAGTGAGGGTGCGCATGCGCAACCATCCTCCTCGCAAGATCTCCACTGAGGTGCGTAACCCCCCTGTCTGGGTGGTGGTGGGGCTGGAAAAGAGGGTTGGGCCTGAGGTGGTGGAGCTCATGCTCCTGTTTCTCCCCTGTCTCTCCTGCTAGGACATCAACAAGCGCCTCTCACTACCAGCTGACATCCGGCTGCCTGAGGGCTACCTTGAGAAGCTGACCCTCAATAGCCCCATCTTTGACAAGCCCCTCAGCCGCCGCCTCCGCCGTGTCAGCTTGGTGAGTATCTGCTATTCCTGTCCTCTTCCTCCTCCACCCCTGTACCCTTCCCTGAGCCTGCTTCAACCTGTCCCCTTTACTCCACAGTCTGAGATTGGCTTTGGGAAACTGGAGACCTACATCAAGCTGGACAAGCTGGGGGAGGTGAGGGACAGCTGGGAGGCCCATGATGGGGGTGGGGATCAGTGGGAACTCCCTATAGCCTCAGGCTCTTCTCCTATAACTGTTCCTCATTCCCCAGGGTACCTATGCCACCGTTTACAAAGGCAAAAGCAAGCTCACAGACAACCTTGTGGCACTCAAGGAGATCAGACTGGAACATGAAGAGGGAGCGCCCTGTACCGCCATCCGAGAAGGTACAGACATCCGGGAAGATCTGCCCCAGGCTTGCTGGGCATTCCCCATGGTGTGCACACACACGCCCCATAGCGAGACTGGGGGTTCTGGTACTTCCCTCCTGATACTCGGGGCTTCATGAGAAAGTGCCCATCACTCACATATCTAGGCAATAATCAAGGTAACCAGGAGTCTGGTCCTGTTTGGAGGAGAGGCAGAAGAATTGGAAAGCAAGGTTCTTGCTTTGGTTCCGAGGACATCCCTGAAAGTGCTCACCAACTTACTTGGTACAGTAGTTAGTCAGACATCACATGCAATGATTTGAATTGCATCAAAATTGAATGTGCAAACGCGGTTTCATATGAAGCTACAGGCCTGAGGGTTGGAGCAAGGCCCCTTTCCAGAAACCAAAAATGGGTTTAGAAAATCTAGTGTCACATAATCCTGGGGCTGCAGTCCCATGTTCTTGTCCCATACTCTCCTCTGAGCCTTCGTTGCCACATCTGGAACATGGGGACATACCTTCCCAGCATCAGGTGGGCTAGAGCTGGTGGCTGCGAGTCACCACTCCAGACTGCACAGGGAAAGAAGGAAACGCTGGTCTCATCCTTGTCCAGTCCTTGTCATCCTGAGGGTGGGGCCCTGACTCTTCTCCCGTCCCCATCCCACCCCCATGTTTCCTGCAGTGTCCCTGCTTAAGGACCTCAAACATGCCAACATCGTCACTCTACATGACATTATCCACACGGAGAAGTCCCTCACCCTTGTCTTTGAGTACCTGGTAAGGTTGAGTGGCAGTGAGTCCCTGGGGGAAGTTGGGTGGTGGCCAGACAGAATATGACCCTCTTTCCTCTACTTTATCTTCTCTCTTCAGGATAAGGACCTGAAGCAGTACCTGGATGACTGTGGGAACATCATCAACATGCACAATGTGAAAGTGGGTGTGGGGCAGGAAGCAGGGGCACAAGGGCCACTCACCCAGTCCACCCCACAAATCTCCCAGAAACAACGTCCCATTTGGCTCTTTAGCTGGGAGCCATTGCAGGGTGTTGGGACCCTGTCCTATTTTGTGAGACAAGGCTCTGGGCTCAGTGTCTGTGTTTGGGAGGGGGAGCAGTGCCTGCTGGGAGTCAGGATGCTGGATACTCTTTGACCTCTGCCTGCCATTCCTGGGTCCCCAGCTGTTCCTGTTCCAGCTGCTCCGAGGCCTGGCCTACTGCCACCGGCAGAAGGTGCTACACCGAGACCTCAAGCCCCAGAACTTACTCATCAACGAGAGAGGAGAGCTCAAACTGGCTGATTTTGGTACCCTCGGCCTTCCCTTCCCAGAGATCCCCCAGCCTTACTCTCCCAGCCTCCCCCTTCCCCATGACCACCTACTCTCAGTCCCCCGGCCTGCTCAGGACCACCTCAATCCCAGCTGCCCCTTCTCTCCACCTCCCAGGTCTGGCCCGGGCCAAGTCAATTCCAACGAAGACTTACTCCAATGAGGTGGTGACCCTGTGGTACCGGCCCCCCGACATCCTGCTCGGGTCCACCGACTACTCCACCCAGATTGACATGTGGTGAGGACAAGTGGCAGGGGCCATGCATTGAAGGGGGGTGGCTTGGTCACAGTGGCCAACCAGTCAACTGCCTTCCTATTTATTCACTGTGCCCTCCCTGCCCAGGGGCGTGGGCTGCATATTCTACGAGATGGCCACAGGCCGGCCCCTCTTCCCAGGCTCCACAGTGGAGGAGCAGCTGCACTTCATCTTCCGCATCTTGGGTGAGGAGACAGGAGCCCTCAGAGGTGTGGGGACCTGCAGGGAGGCCCTCTGAGATGCTTAAGGTAATGCCTCTTCCCACCAGGAACCCCAACTGAGGAGACATGGCCGGGCATCCTGTCCAATGAAGAGTTCAAGACACACAACTACCCCAAGTACCGTGCCGAGGCCCTTTTGAGCCATGCACCACGGTGAGGCTAGTGGAGGGGTGGGGGGGTGTGAGGGGCAGAGTACCCAAACTCAATTTAAAGCAGGTCCCCTTGTCCTTGTGGTAGACTTGATAGCGATGGGGCTGATCTCCTCACCAAGCTGCTGCAGGTGAGACCACTTCCCAAGTCAGCCTTGGGGGCTGGGGGTGTGGGGAAACAGGGAGTTCCGGGTGGGGAGGAAGAGAGGCTTACTCTGTGAAAGTGTCAATATTAAGCCCCCACCTCAGTTTGAAGGTCGCAATCGGATCTCTGCAGAGGACGCCATGAAACACCCATTCTTCCTCAGTCTGGGCGAGCGGATCCACAAACTTCCTGACAGTGAGTGGCGCTGGTGAAGGGAGGGCCGGTGGGGGGCTGTGGGGAACAGGACTGCTGTAGACAGCCGAGCAGGTGTTGTCGGGCTCTGCTACATCACCTCAAAGGGGGTACACATTTGTTCACGTGTGTGGCGTGTTTATTACAAACAAGTTGTTAGTTTTCAGTTCCTTCTACCTTTCATGGAAATTTCCAAATGTACATAATAATCAAATATCACTTTCTCTTTTTTAGAATAAACATTTCCTTGTAAAGTATGTACTGAGAAATGCACAGATCATAAGTATACAGCACAGTGAATTTTCACAACACACACGTGACACAGGCATACCGTCAGAAAACAGGATGTGAGAAGCTCCCCCAAAGTGTCCCAGGTTCCTTCAGATATTCCCAGCCCCTCCCCAAGGGTTACCACTAGATGGACTTCTAACAGCTGAGATAAATTTCCCCTGTCCTTGTACTCTGCAGAAATGGAATCATACGGGGTATTCTCTTTTTACATCTGACTTTTAAAAACTTTTTAATATCGGTGTTTTAAATTAGATATATTCATATATTAGACTAAATAATAATATGAGTCCCCAAGTTCTCTATCAGGTCATCAACTCATGGTGAATCTGGTCTAACCTATATTCCCTCTGATTATTTTGAATCAAATCCCACACATATTATTCACCTATAAAAGATTTCAGCATGTGTCTATTAAATCTCTTTTTAAACATAACAATGTCATTATCACACCTAAAAAAACTTGACCCACTTTGCACATCTCCCCATTGGACTAATCCAAATGAAATCCCAAACACCATCCAATCACCTAGAGTTAAGTGATAATTGCAATACCATTATCACACTTGAAAAATTAATAATAAAAAAATAATGCTTTCTTGGTGCCATGTAATAGTCCATATTCCATTTTTCCTAATGTAGCTAGTTTTTGTGTGGGATTATTTCACAGATGAAAGTCAAGCCTCTCAAAGAAAAGGCAGCTTTTTCTAATTTCTCCAGTGGGGCCACATGAGAGGTGGCTCTGGATGGCCCCATGGGTCATTTCCTACTTCTGTCTCCACCCACAGCTACTTCCATATTTGCACTAAAGGAGATCCAGCTACAAAAGGAGGCCAACCTTCGCTCTTCGTCAATGCCTGACTCAGGTAGGTGTGGCCCTTGCCCTCTTCCCTGCCCCATCCATCTACCTGCTTGTTTACCAACAGCCATCGCTCTGCTTTCGCCCGCAGGCAGGCCAGCTTTCCGTGTGGTGGACACCGAGTTCTAAGCCACAGACCCAGGCCCCAGCAGGCAGCAGCTGGAGGGATGCCACACCCCTCACAGGGCAGCCCCCAACTGCATCCTCCCTTGCTTGCTGCCTGCCTACCTGCCTGATCCATGCTCGCCTGCCCACGTGTTCCCTGCTGCCTGTCCAAACATCCATTGGCCTGTCTGCTGGGTGCTAACAAAGCTCTCATCGCTCCTTCACCTGGTCTGTCTGTCTCTCTCTCTGTCTTAGTAGTAGCCGGCGGACAGCATGGCCGTGCCAGCCTCCCACACTGAGGCCAGGCCTATAGCCCTCCCCATCATACCCTCCCCCAGGACCACTACCCCATGGCCAGCTAGGGGTCCGGCCAGCCCAGGCTCGGGATCTCAACTCAGACAAGAGGTGGCAATGCCTTAGGTTTGAGGTTCCCCCTGCCTGCTTTCCTGCCTGCCCCACCTGCCTCATGTTGTGTGGGCCTTTTTTGTTTCATTCATTGTTTTTTTTTAATTATTTTAAATGAGGTTTTCATTTTTTTAAATGCAATATCTCTGTGTACAGACTGGCTGGGCCCCACCCCCCGTGGCCCTCCCAAAGTATTTTGTGCAATGAAGCCCTGATCCCAGCCTTTCCAAGGCAGGGACACAGCCCCTATTCAGAACCCTGACCATCCCCAGATCCTGGGGTTGGCTAAGGGCAAGCATGCCTCGACCACTCGCCTTCCTACACACACCCCCTCCCCACCACCTGCCATCCCAGGCTGCAGGGGTACCTGAGGACTACCGGAGACTCTGGGAGATGGACA